CGCCCGGCTGGGCTTGGCTCAGCAGTTGAGCATCGACCTAGGATCCAGGCGACCGGGGTTCGATTCCCAGTCAGGGCACATGCCCAGGTTGTGGGCTCGATCAATGACTCTCTCATCATTGATGTTTCTCTCTCTCTCTCCCCCCTCTCCTTTCCTCTCTCTGAAATCAATAAAGATATATATTTTTTTTTAAAAAGAAGAAAATGAAATATTCACCTGCTCAAATACAGAGCAGATACACAGGCCCAACTCCTGCCCCAGGGAAGAGATGGCTTAGCCTGAGGAGTGTGGCCTAAGGACTGAGGGTTGGGCATAAAACATATTTCACTGCTATCTGGTAACCTTCAAAGGCTATTATGAAGCTATTTCTATGGCAACTTTTCTTTCCATCAAAAAGGGCATAGTGTGGAGTATCTGTCACAGCTGGGCTTTGGGAGAGACAGCACGTCCATGGATCTTAAGTCTCATGGTTTTAAGTGTGAACTCTTAAATGGAGGTGTTAGCCCTCACTTCCAATCTTTCTAGCAAATCAGAAGCATTTTTTTTCTTCCCAGAACAGGAAAGCAATCTTCTCCCAAAGATGAATCAGAAAACTGCTGGCAGCTTGGAAACAGCAACCAATCCCCACTAGGATGTTAAAGTTTAGACAAGGCAGGGGTCAGGGTCAGCCAGGGGGCTTCCCCTTACTAGGACAACTTGGAGAAAGAGGAAGACATGAAGAAACGAGTGGAAAGGAACCAGGGGAAGAAAACTATGAATATAGGAAGCAAAATGCCTCTGTTCTGCTCAGTGTAAGAAGCTTAGTTTAATGGTTTCCTACAGTCATTCTGTTCCTAAAGAGAACCTCCCTCCAAAAGATAATATTTACTGTATTTTAATCTTTTCTTAAATGAAAAACGCCTTGAAAAATGTATTTGCCTCTCAAGAGCTGAAACTAAGTATTTCCCTGAATTGATGAGAAGATCAAGGCCAAGAACAGTCAAGGCAAGGAGAGAGCGCTGCACTGTAGCCACACACCAGCAGCAGAGTACCCCCCCAACTCTCACGCCCAGTCCCTCCCCCCTGCCCCCCTTTGTCTTCTATACGAAAGCCTCTTGCCCCAGACGTGTTGTGGTGCCAGGATGGTGGTGGCCAGAGGTGACTAGCAGAGGCACCAGCCTCCGTCTCTTGCCTACCAGCCCCAGCACACACCCTTGGTCAACACCACCTGTCCTCCAGGTGAACTGTATCTCAGAGCTTCATTGTCGTTTTTTCCCCAGTTTGGCCATTCTCCATCCATTCAATATATTCCAATACCCTGCTGATAGGTACAGTAGACTAAAGGCTAAATAAGCCCTGCCCCGCACACACAAAGAGGTTCAGGTCCTAATCCCTGGTATCTGTGAATGTTATCTTACATGGTAAAAGAAACTTTGCAAATATGATTAAATTAATAATCTTTTTAAATTTATTGATTGATTTAGAGAGAGAGGGAAACACGGATTTGTTGTTCCACTTATTTATGCATTCATTGGTTGCATCTTGTATGTGCCCTGACAGGAGACTGACCAGGAACCTTGGCGTATTGGGATGACAATCTAACCAACTGAGCTTCCTGGTCAGGGTTAAACTAAAAATCTTGAGATGGGCGATTATTCTGGATTATCTGAGGGGGCCAAGTATGATCACAAAGGTTATTATAAGTGTGAAGCAGGCGGGTCAGGGGGAGAGAAGGACATGTGACGACAGAAGCAGAGTTGAGAGAGAAACTGAGATTTGAAGACAGAGTGAGGGGCCATCAGCCAAAGAATGCAGGCAGCCTTTAGAAACTGGAAACAGAAGGAAGTGGATTATCCCTTAGACACTCCAGAAAAGACACACACACACACACACACACACACACACACACACAGCCTTCCCAACATTTACACTTTAGTCTCATAAGACCCAATTTGAACATCTGACTTCCAGAACTGTAAGAGAGTAGATTTATGTTGTTTTAAGCCACTGAGTTTGTGGTAATTTGTTACAATCAACAATAGAAAACTAATAAAATAGGAATGACAATTAGATCACCTACTTTGAAAAACTGGCAATATCTACAGAAGTTGAGCATATGCCTGCTTCAAGACTCACAATTCATCTCCTAGGTATGTACCCATCGGAAATGTGTACATATGTTCACCAAAGACCTCCACTATAATGTCCCTAGCAGCATTATTTGTAATGTCCCGAACCTGAGAATTACTAAATGTCTATCAAATAAATAAATAAATAAATTCAGGTATGTTCACACCGTGGAATACTATACAGCAAAAAGAATGAGCAGACTATGACCACAGACAACATGCAACTCTTAAACATGTCCAGTGAAAACCAGACAACAGAGTTCTGTAGGATCCAACTGCTATAAGGTGCAAATGCAAGTAAAAGTAATCTCTGCTAGCTGAAGCCACTACTCTGCCCTCCTCCCCAAAGAAGGGGTCTGAGGGAGTCTTCTGGGAAGCTGCAGAATCACTGAACTTGTGAAATGTGCATCTTTTAATGTATACTATACAATAATCGAAACTTTTTTTGTTTGTCTTAATGGGGAAAAGCTAACCTGTGCCTTCATGCAGATTTGCCCAGTCCCTTTCTAGGAACCTCCAATCTCCCCAAACAAATGCGTGTAGGCACCGAGCACAGATCCAGGATTCCAGCTCTCTAGAGCCCAAGTCTGGGTTAAAATGTCCTGTGAACTTTCTTTGCACATATTCACTAAAGAGCCCATTTCAGGGGGTTGTTCTCCTGAATAAAGGAAGCCTACTTAGAGTTAAGTCTACTCGCCCCTTTTGAGGACTCAAAACTGCAAACTAAGTTTTGACATTTTCTGAACAACAAAAACTGATCATGGTCTTTTCCCCACCAGTCGATCCCTGATAAATGGAGTTAAAAGCGCTGCTTCTACTTAATTTCCTCTCTTTTTTGTCCCTAGTGAAGTTTAACCCGTAGAATTTACTTTGTGAAATTTTGTTAAAGTGTTATATTAAAGTTTTAATAATAGTGTAATAAAGTCACAAACTCATAAGAACAGGACGGTTGCTCCCACCAACACCCCAACCTGAAGCGAGGCCTTGCTTTCCCTAAAGGCGGTATGGCCACGGGAAGGGGGAAGAGGGGGCGGTGAGGACAGACACGGGTCAGCCGGGTGGATGGGAACTGGGAGGAGCGACCCAGACACGAGCAGGCGAAGAGAGGGGCCGGGAGGTAGGAGTGGCCAGCTCCCCACAGTGGGGGAGACCCTGCAGTCCCTGCTCTGGGCCGGGTCGTCTCGGGAATGCGCGGGGACCGCGTCGCGTGGGGAGAGGGCCACACCTGGGGCCAGGCGGGGCCCGGGAGGCCAGACTTCGGCGCCGCTGGCCCACCTGCCGCGCCCCCGGAGC